ACGTTTAGAAAATTAGAATTTGTAGTAACAATCTTCTTGAACCTTAACTATGTGCCCACATAGGAATCTAGCTTAGTGTATCAACCTAAATAACTATGTAAGAAAGGTTTTTCAACCTCTTTCCCTAATATAAAAGTAAATGAATAAAGAAAATATATAAACTCTTACAAGGGCTTCCATAAGAGTTTCTTCATAGTGCGAGGGAGGATAAGGGACTTCACTTGCACATTGCACCTATGGGATCCTAAAAGATGGTTGTAGTAGTGTTGTTTTGTGATTATTTTTATTACGCCTTATGTATGTCAGGCTATCTATGATTTCTATAAATATGGAAAGTAAATGATGAAATATCATATTATGAAGGTATGTATGAAGTAGGTTGTAATATTATACTTATCTTTGGATAGAGTTATGGGATTCTATTCTTTGCATTGTACGAAAATTGTTTGGGTTGTCTACATTTGGAGATGATATTATGTTGGGTTTGCTTATGATGCTTAACTTATGTTCATATTGGGTGTGCTTTTTAAAAATCATGTTTTTACTAAAATTTCCTTTTATGCATGTTTCCAATAGTTATTATGCATACAAGCCATACTTAGAGGTCGAATATGATTGTTATGGCTATAGGGTGCTCTCAGGTTGTAAAAAATTGGTGTCAGAGCATAAGGTTGAGAATATTTTAGGATTGATGTTACAAAATACCATGTCGAGTAGATTCTTATTTATGAGTGTGAAACACGCCATACTTATGAATGAGAGGATATGAGATGCTTAGGAACTTTCACACTTTTGATATTTATTAGTTTTGCCTAAGAGTCTTAAATCTATCCTGTCCTTTATTATAATCCTTTTCGTTTGCTTTTGTCCAATTAATACAAGAAGGACTAATTCTAGGACAATCAAGGAGGAGAATGTAAATGAGGCAGTTGCCCCTCAAGATCCTCAAAACCCTCAAGTTTCTATTGAATAAGGGGTTATATCTAATGTCGAGATAAGGTATACTATTCATATTTGACTGAAGTGTTGGCAACTCAAGTATCTAGGGAAAGTAGGGTGGAAGTGAACCTTAATGTTAGCACTACCTCTTCTAGGATTAGGGATTTGAGAAGGATGAATCCCCCTACTTTCTTTGGCTCCAAAATGGAGAAGGACCCACAAGGGTTCATTGATGAAGTATTCAAGGTGCTAGATGCTATGGGTGTGTCTTCTCAAGAAAACGTGAAACTAGCCGCCTATCAATTCAAAGATGTGGATCAAGTTCGGTATGACTAATGGATGGAGGATAGGCCTATTAGAGAAGGTCTGATTAGTTGGGCATCATTCAAGACAACTTTCCTTGATAGTTTTTTCCCCTTAGAATTAAGGGAGAGGAAAATGCTAGAATATATCAAACTTCATATAGGGGGTATGGGCAAGAAGGAGTATGGCCTCAAATTCACTCAACTATCCAAAAATGCTCTACTATAGTGGCGGATTCTAAGGATAAGATGACTAAATTTGTTATGGGGATATTCTACCTTGTGGTTAATCAATGTAGGTTGGCTTTGTTGATTCCTAGCATGGGCATCTCTCGGTTCATGGCTCATACCAAACAAATTGAAGATCAAAAGCTTAAGCAAGTTGGTAAGGAGTTGAAGAGGAGAAGGGCTGAAGATGGGAACTCTTCCAAGGCTATGTTTGAGGTTCAAGATAATCCAATGTTCAAGAAGAGGTTACCCAAACGAGGTCCTCCTAACACTCCAAGGTCATAAAAGGTAAACTATCTACCACAAGCCTCAAGAAGAAAGAGGTGGTGGTTCTTATGTTAGAAGCCTATATGTGCTAAGTGTGGTAGAAAACATGATGCAAGTGCCTAGTTGGAACGGATAATTTCTACAGTTTTGGTAAGAGTGTTCACATGAATAGGGAATGCCCTATGGTAAAGGCTCAAGGAAGGGAAAATGCTCAAACACAAGCAAGTTGTCCGAATTCCGATTCTTTTAAGAAGAACCACTTATATACTCTCAAATCTCGGGTGATCAAGAGAGCTCTCCAGATGTTGTTATCACTATGTTACAAGTATTTTCAATAAATTTTTATGCATTGTTCGATCCCTTTGCCACATTGTCTTTTGTAATTCCTTTAGTGGCTATGATATTTGATATGCTTGTCGATGTCTTAGATGAACCTTATTTGTTTCTACCTGGATGGGTGATTCCGTAGTTGCTAGAAAAGTATATAAAGTTTCTCTCATTTTTTTCCGAATAGAGTCACATCGGTTGATTTGGTAGAACTTGATATGTTGGACTTTAATGTTATTTTGAAGATGGATTGGCTACACGTTTAGTTTTCTTCCACTGATTGTAGAACTCGAAAAGTAAAGTTTCAATTTCCTTATAGAGAAAATTTTTAATAGAAGGGGGAAAACTAAATTCCTAGGGGTATGATTATTGTGGGATTAAAGGATCTTGAGTCTAAGACTCCTCCATTGGAGTTGGTCCCCGTAGTGAAGGACTTTCTAGAAGTCTTTATCGATGACTTGCCAGGAATTCCTCCTGAACAGGAAGTATATTTTGACATTTACTTATTTCCAGTTACACAGCCTGTATCAATGCCTCCTTACCGAATGGCCCCACCTAAGTTGAAGTAATTAAACGCTCAACTCAATGATTTTCTAGATAAGGGTTTTATTCAACCAAGCATTTCTTCATGGGTTTGTAACACTCTGAAAGGTCAAAAATTAATCTAGAGCCTAAAATGAGTGTACATGTGTTGTAAAACTATTTTAAGTTCAATAATAATTTATACAAGTCATTTAGAGATTTCTAGAGTTAAAACATCAAGGAACGTCCACGACGTCTGGACACTAGTGCAAAAAGGTGCTAGTGTGCCTTAGCATATTTGCCGGGGTTTTAGAAGTCGAAATTATATGAGATTAGGTGTTAAGGTGTCTAAAATGTATTAGAGTTTTTAAGGGTCTAAAAATCGATGTACAACTCCCCAAGTACAAAGCAACGAGTCCTTGAGGAAGAACCTTGCATTATGGCTAAAAGTTGTCTTGAGACAGAAGCCATCGACAAATGTAGGCTACGAGGCGTAGCATGGCTGACAAGGCATAAATGGTTACTTAAACATTGTTTCAAAGGGTACTTTTTTATCCCACTCTGACCAAAACAACTACTTCACAGGACGGTGGAGGTCGTGGTTGTCAACTGACCTACGGACCATAGGTCGGGTTCTCGTAGGTCAGGGCATATGTTTTGCTATCATGCTTTAATTAGTTAGTTTAATTAAGTTAGTTGGTTATGGGTTTAATTAGTGATTAGGAGGTGTTTAATAAGGTTATTTAATTAACTATATAACCTACCCAAGCCTTAACCCAACTAACCACATCTTAATTCCCAAACTAAAAGTACTCTTCCTGATATCTATTTTCTCTCTCCTAAAGAAACTCCATAGAAGACAAAGGTAAAGGGGAGTTCTAGGGAAGAAAGAAGTAAGGTTTCCTCCATCAATCTTCATCAAATACCAAGGTATGGGAACTCTTCACCTTTGGGATTCCATTCCCCAAAGGGTTCTTCTAAAATTGATTTTCAAAAGGTGAGTGTCATGTGGGTTTCTCCCTATTAGGAAATTGATCTTCTAAATTGACTTTTCTATGGTTTATTTTTGTTATTATGATTGGACTATGATGTATTATGATTTAATTATTCTATATCTTGATGTATTGACCTAGTTTGTGGAGGATGAGTTTTTCCCCCAAACCCTAGGTTGTGATCTTGAATTGAATTGTGTAGTAGTGATGTATGTGTCTTGTTTAATGTGTGAAATATGATTATATGATGTTTTTATACCAAGTGATAAATGAATTGTGATTGGTTTATGGTAATACCATGATTATGTCTTGGGAAGAGGAAGCGATATGGATTTGTGATCTTGAATTCTTAACTCTATTGTGATGACTTATACCTAGTGATCTTGATTCAATTGAATTATATGTATTGTGTTTGGATTATTTAGGTTGGTACAATGTTGGTATTGTAATGTCTTATCTTATTAATTATGAGATCATGTTAAGGTTGTGATGCTATAAGCATGGTGTTGATTCACTTGTATGCATTACTATGATATGAAATATGGTGTTGATCTCATTCTGAGGATTGTATTGAAAGGTTATTCGCATGCAGTTCCTAATGACCTAATGATGATGATATACAACGGGTTAGTCTCCTATGACCTATACTAAGTTGTGATAATAAAGGATGACTTAAGGACATTTCAAAAAAGGACACTACCTTAGCACCGAGCGAATTAGTAGTGAGGAGTGTCCTTTTCCACATCGGGAAGGTAGGCTCACTATTTTACTCATGAGATTGGAGACGATAATGCATGTAGCTTTAAGAGGGTCCCAAACTACATATCTTAGTACTTGAACTATGTTGGCCCCATAGGAGTACTAGCTAGTGGATCCACATAGATGACATGGTTCCATGACACATGATTCCACATTAGCTCATGTGGTCTATGTCAGTTATGGCTACACTAAACCATTTTAGGCCTACGGTCTCACAAGTAAAGTGTAGTCTAAATTAGTAAGAAGTGTGGCCTTTGAAAAAGGCTACACTTTTAGACTTTAGCAACACTTTTTAGGGCTTCGCCTAAAGCAGCGAATGAATCTTTGATATTTCGCAACACTTTTTAAATGTCACCATCTTTGACTAAACATATAAATCGTAGCCAAAGAGGTGTAAGGACACACTTTTTGTGATGCATTAGAGACACATATTTTTTATTATACTACATTTAAAAGCGTTGTATTTGCTTTTTTATTGGTCACACTTAAAAAGTGTTGCCTTTTATATGTCATCTAGAGAAACACTTATAAATGTGGAAATATTGGGTAGAATTTTTATGGCCACAATTTTTCAATTTTAGGAATAACCATTTTTATTTTCATATATTGAATAATCACAATATTAAATTTATACTTGACCTAAAGCACAAAATTAGAAAATTAATAAATCGAAACTATATGGTTCAAATAAACTTTGAAAAACATGTCTTGTACAACCAATACTAAGAAAACAATTTAATAAAGATCTCTACTATTAATAATTTCCACAAAGCCAAATACATACCAATAATATGACAATAGTACAAAAAAATATTCATCGCTCAATACAATAGATCGAGTATACTTTTGGCAACAATACAATTTCAATTACCGACATTTTCCTGCATATTAAAAAAATTATATGTTAGTGAACTAAATGATGTATTAAATATAGTCAATACTAGTCATTTTTAACAATACTTCCCAGCCCCCTCACAGTGAAGTGCATTGTTATTAAAAAAAAAACTGGACTTTTAGTTATTATTAAAACATGTATTCAACCATCCAAACATAGTAGTAATTGTCTAACGTTATTTTTGACATCCAACTTTCTGTATAATGGCTCCAATTGAAATAAAACTCAATTACCAAATGTTTGGTTCAATGTTAGAGTTGACCACTATAGTATCTTCTGTGGCATTTGAGCAGTTTAAGGGGAAAATTACAATAAGGCATTAAAAAGCTCTGGAGAAATCAATAGCTGTAAAATTGGACATTTGAGGAGGCAACATTAGAATAATTTATGACATACTAAAAGAACAAATGTAGCATGCAGAGAAAGATCTCAGAATCTTGTGGAAAACTACAGGCATGTAAAGAAATAAAAAACAAGAACAACTAGTTTAATGCTTCCTGAAACAATATACACATACCATAGCCCTATAATTCACCCCGCAAAATTAATTCATAAGTAAATTATGTTCGATGCAGAGAAAAAAATCATCTATTCCAAACATATTCATGTCTTGTTTCGCTTGTTTGACTGTGCAATCTATTTGTGACAAATTAGCCGCATTTGAGATAAAATTGTCTATAAGCTCACCACTTTCATCATCACAACTTTTTTAAGCGAAACAAAATTCTAACAGGTGTGTCATGTGTTTACAATTTGTTTGCTTAGAAGTGTACATTTTTATTACTTTCTTATTTTGTAAAAGCTCCAAGTTGGTTCCCCAAACACACTTAAGGTCCAAGACTAACTCTTTCTAAATATCAAAAATGTTGCAACGTAACTGCTTATATTTGGTTGTTAAATTCTACTATGTCATTAATATCATAGCTTGATAATCAGATCCTATCAGAAACACTATAAAGAAAAAGAATCAAAAGGCTTAAATTCACATAAAACAAAATACTATGGACAAGCTAAGTTCATGAGTTTTAAGTAGTTTTGTCTACGATATATCCTTAGGAATATCGTAAAACCTCATAAAACAGTACGATGTTAACAAATGCATGTCCATATAATAGAGGATCTCATAATAAGAAATCACAACGATTTACCTTATCTTAAGTTTGAACGATGAAGTGATTTATCAACTTATTATATACAGAGGACATCTTTTGGTTTCAAGTTAGTAAAGGAGCGGTGACACCCTATTATCCAGTTTACTAAACATGTCTATGCTAAAAGAAATTACACTTCTACAAGTAAACATAACAATGAATTATTTTTTCTTTTCATTTTCATCCATCTAATTAATTTTTGAACAATGAATTGTTGCAATCGTGTTCTGAAGGCATTTAGGTTTGTCCCATCCATTTGGTTTTAGCCACCAGCCACCATGCGCATCAAGGAACTATAGGACAAACAAAACTCTTTTGCCTTGCGATATCACAAATATTTGAACAAAATAAACCAATCTTCTAGCAGGTAAGGAAAATGGAACAAGAAATTAATGACACACAGGTGAGACGTAAGTAAAAATCAGCAACTATATGTAAGAGGAGTTTCAATCACCTCTTCAAACTTATCTCCTTTCAAATCTAATATTTCTACAAGTAACAAAATATATAATACTGCTATTGAAGATGAACTCGGAATTATATAGCAAAGCTATTGAACAATAAAAAAAAATGAACTCTAAAACTACTAAAGACTTCAAATATTGCTTAAGATGATGGTGCACTTGAACATTTACCATATTTTATCTTTCAAATAACTACATTTATGATGCACCATATTTAAGATCAATCATATCACACGTGGTTACAAAATGAAATGGTGAACTTTAAGATTTAGAAATTCACAGTGATGGAACTTACCTAAATCCAAGAACCTTGAATTTTACATAAATCGTAAAGTTAATATCATGTCCTTAGGGTAACCAATAAGTATGTGCTTTCGATCCCCCTAGTAAATAGACGAAAAATGATAGAAATTAGCTATGCAACAGTAGATATTAATGTTGCAGTGTCAAAAACAATAAACAAAATATTTACCTGCAAGCATCAACCATATGAGAGTAGCATGAAATCAAGATATTCTTAATGGTGCAGGCAACTATAACTATATCCCTAAATTCAATATTATTATCATATGAGTTTCGCAAGTAGTATAGATGTGTCCTAAAATTAGCTGTCAAATTAATATACCACAAATAACACTCAACCAAGAACAAAGTTTTAAAGAAACAAGAAAGAGACTTTGACATTCTCAATCAGATGTAAAAGCAAAACATAAAATAACTTTGTTCATTTGATTTTTTTAATAGGCTATACTTTCCACTGAGTCTCTTATACTACCTTGGGTCCTTCCAAAATTACCTAAGCTCTTCAAAACATGAAAGTTAACAAAAAGGTGAAAAAATGAGAATTATTTTCGCGCATTTTTCTCTGTAGGATCTAAGACTTGATAAACTTTTTCTAAAATGTGGATGAACAAATAATAATTACATAGCAAGTTGTAACTTCAGTCGACGTTCATTCATTGATAAGTGATAAGCATAAGTTTGATCAAGCTAAAGTAACAAACGTATATCACATCCTTCAACACTATATGTTTCAAAGTCCTTATTTTGATAAACCACAACAGGACAATCTATTTAACTGAAGAAATTTTACGAACACTAAGAGGGAACAAGCTTTTCAGATAGATTAATGTGTGTCAAAACACATGACAAAACAAATAAATCCACTATATTAAAAGATTGGGGAAAAGTGAAATAAATAAGCAAACAGAGAAAAGAAAAGGAAAATCAAAGTTCAAAATATATTGCGGATTCAACAAACCAGCAAAATTAACAATTGAAATTAGCAAACAAAACATTGAATAATACAGAAACCAAGAAAACAAAGACAAAAAGATGCATGTACAGTAAGTGTTTTTAGGGAAAACATCCGAGCGAAAGAAAACACCAGGAAATTAATGAATGGCAAATAGGAAACATAGAAAAGTAATGAATGGGAAATAGGAAACACAGGAAACAAATGAGGCAGAGAATGGAAGTGTACCTTTTTGTTCATGGGAGAAACTGGAACTTCGTCTCCCAATTTAGGACAGAAATTGAATATATATTGTTTTCCATGGAACATAAAGAAAATTTCTTCAAAATAACAAATGTAGAAATCAAAGATGCAAGCGTGGATCATTCTCCACCAATGTGAGAACATGCATCAAAGAAAGAAAGGAAGGGAGAATGTGAGGACACGCCGTAAGAAAGAAAGAAGGGAGAAGATGAAATTACGGATTTGCCCTCCAAATGTCTGACAAAACCTTCTCTTACCAAGAATGATAATGATCACTAAGCATATTTTTCTATGAAAAATCAGATGAATTTTACACTAGTATATTCCTCAATAGGCACCCCAAAAAATATCTTCTCATTGTTCAACTCAATTATGCATGAATCAGATTTTTATGGTATTTCAGTTCTACTGACTCCAGGTAACATTACACATTCTAACCTTGTAAGACTAAAGACTTTATATGTAGTCTCATAAACTTTTAAGGTAATACATTTTATTAGGGAAGATATACAGGTAATAAATGCATTAAGCAATAATCAACTGAAGTCGAAACTTGTGATAATAAAGCAACATAGACAATGCACAATCTTTCCATTTTTTATTCTGCAATTCAAGACAAAAAAACTCCCAGTCCATCCCGATTTATTTGACAGAACTCCTACTTTTATCCATTTAATTATTAATGACTTCATAAAATTAAAAATTCGAGGATTACCTTCAGGAGGGTCCTACTGTAACCTATTGAAATCAATCATCAGTCTCTTCCTTGAAGAAATTGACATTTGACATTTTAACTGCTGCACATATTCCATGGCAGAATCAACACAACCAAACAGTTAATATGAAGCATCAGTTTCTTCATTTGTTATAATAAAGAGGAGCATAACTCAAAGTAAAACATCAACTAGAAGAACGACATTAATGATACCTGCTTGTTTAATCAAATCGATCCTTAATTAGTGAGCTCAAAATTAAGTATACTACACTATGAAAACTTAAACAGACTAATTATGACGATATTCACTAAGAAAGTAAAAGGTAAAATCCTTTCAAAGAGTAACAAACACTAATTTATACTTATTTTGCGATGAATCTTGTAATTATAATTCAAATGCTTTTTTTTCAAATTCATAAGATCCAAGGATAATTCCACAAACACATACAAAAAAAAAGATGTTCCGTCATGAATCAATTCAATTCATACACTTACCCTACACTAAAAATCCAAAAGAAGGTGTGAGTTAGGGTTTTGCTTTGAATGGTACCTCATCTTGGGGAGCAGGAGCTTCTAGTTTAGACTTACCTCATACAAATTAGAATTTTTTTAATTAAAGAAACAGAGAGAAAATGATGAAGAAGAAGAGGCTGGTTCATATGATCAAAGTGACTGAATATATCTCAATTGTTACTTCTTGTATCTGCTCTCTTTCGTATATATTCATATTCTTCCAAACTATGCTAATTTTATTTGAAATTTTTCTCAAGCTATTCCAATGAAGGCGAATATGTATTAGAAAAATCACCACCTATCTCAAACGGAGTGACAGAGTTTTGTAGAGTAACAATGGTGATTTTAGTTTGGTGGAAATGAAAAGAAGAGGACAGTAAGATTTAGTCTTTCATTTATAAGTGTAGTGATTTGTGTAAAGTAACAATTACGTCTTTGAATTAGATTTATTTGTGCTGGGAGTCTTTTTGATCTTTTTTTTGTTTTGTTTTTTTTAGAGTTAAATTGTGTTTTAATTTTTAAATTTCTTTTTAGAAAATAAAAAATTTAAAGGAGAGTTAAATATGTTGGGGGAAAATAATATTTTGGAGAATATTTAAGGAAAATTACAAGCTCACACTTGTTAAATTTTTTTTTATTTATAAAAATAGCATACTTTAAAAGTGTAGTCATATGTGTAAAGATATGTCGCCAATTATATAATGATATGGCAATGTTTAAAATGAGTTGCTTATACCACTAAAGAGCACACACTTTACAAGTGTTATCAGTATTATTGTTGCCAAAAGCTAAAAGCTAAGGCTATCCTCAAAAGTGTAACCAAAAATATTTTAGGCAACACTTTAGAAATATTGTGTAGATTTAGTGTTGCCTTAGGCTTAAAATAGTGTAGTTCAAGATGTTCCCAAAAGTAAAATGAGGTAATAATGTGAACTCTAACTAGGATGACCTAAGGGGTTTGACTTAGTCTAGCTAGGGGTATGGGACTCTACATATACATTTCACTCATGAATATGTTGTCGGTATCCATTGCTACATGTGATGATGATTATTTTTAATGTTATGGTATGTAAAGTTAGGCATTGCTTATGGTCTTTGTTGGGATCGCTTGATTGAGTAAGGTTATGGGGCCTTACTTAGTTATTGCACTAGTGGACTTAATGAGGGTTCATGAGTAATCATCTTGCTTAGGTTATGATGTCATGAACTCTTATGTATACTTGTTGATATTATAACTTGATGATAGAATTGTCTTGATTATGTGCTCAATTATGTTGACATGCATGTTGACTTGACTAGACTTGATTTTGTTGGTCTTGTGTAACACATGGTATTTACTTAAGGAATAGGTGCTTATTGATTTGTATTGATTCTTGAATGTGCATGATGTATTTTCGAAATAACTTAGCATTCTTTAGTAAAATGTATACTTTTGGAATGATTTCTATATTATATGTGCATATAATTCCATGCTTAGTACAAGTGATGTGCTAACTTCATTTCTCCCTTTTTCCCCAATATTTTATGTTCCGCCCGTTGAGGATATTGTGGCCATTTGCAAGGAAGTCTTGGAACCATTCTCCAAGTTGGTATGTCCTCAAGTTCAAGGATGATGCCTTGTTATTACTCTAGCAATGGTTTTTTGTTATAGTTTGAAGACGATTATTTCATTCTACTTGTTTTAAGATACTGTTGTAAGCCCTAAGTGGCATTTATAAATTGTGCAAGGTCTTGTGCACATATGGTTCGATTCCGTTCAGATGGTTTAATATGAGACATCCCTTTTGAAACTATATTATATATGTTGTCTATATGTGACATAAAAGTAGAAGACTATGTAATTTTCTTATACGAGGAGTCTATGTATACTCGTTATGAATATATAATCTGGAAGCGAGAGGTCTAAGTAAACCTCATGAAGTGATTGTAGATTAAAAGTTTTAAATTTTTTGTACTTTTTAACCTATGAATGTAATGGTGAATACTAAGAGGCTAGTTTTAGTCCTCTTCAACTATGACAATGCTTGTTACGTCTAGGGGGTACTTCACGTATGTGACAAACTTGGTATCAGAGCAAGAGGTTGAATATCCCTAGAATTGATATCTCATTAAACCATGTCTACGTAGATTCTTATTCATAACTGGAAAGCATGCCACACTTATGAATGAGAGAATGTGTGATGTTCAAAAAAACTCTCATATCCTTATATTCTTATGACGTCCCTCTTGAGTTTGTTATGTGCTCTCACCTAAACATTGTGTCGTGGTTATTGGTATGAAAAATCAAAGAGCATCTTCTAGAAGTGTAAGAACCTGAAAATGACTATACTAAGTAATGCATAAATGTACCTAGAATGCATGGATTAGACCGGGTTCACACGGCTTGTTGCGCGTAGAACAAGACCTCAGAATCTATTCACTAGCCAAGACAACCAACTTGGTGAGTTAGTTGGGCTACGAAAGGTGAGAACCAACCATGTAGGACACCCGAATTGAAAAGATTCACCCGGATGAGTTTTATTAGAGTTAAAAGGGGTAATCTTAGGTTTGGAGGGTCTAGGGGTAAAATAGTCTTTTTCAATCTAGGTATAGTATTGTAATTAGCCTAAGAATTCAATTCATTAATCAATAAATTTAAAAAGGAGGAGCAATTCAGGCAGGGTTGGCCGAAATTGACCCTTTTTTGCAAGTTGGGCTTCACCTGGGTTCGAGCCTTGTTGGAAGCGACATTTAGGTGGATTAAATTGATGATTATAATCTGATTTTGTAGGGGCTTTATGGTCATTTCGCTTACCCATTGAAAAAAAAGATTTTTAAACAATTAAGAGAAGTCCTATTTTGACTGAGTCTCCACCTAATCTCCTAATCCTAAGCTAACTCATTGTCACGTCTCTCTTTACTCTCACCTTATTTACACACTCAACTTTCTATAAAATAAAAGAACAGAAAAAAAATATTACAAAGTTCATACACATTCAAGAACTCGATCACTCAAACTCAAAAGCAAAATAAGGTTATAAACGAAAAGTAAAAATCAAGCTCTTGACTGGTTGTGCTTGTGATTTCGGTGGTGAGATGTTGGTTAAGTGGGGATTTTGTCAGTACGTAAGTACATCTTTGAACGAATTCGGGTATGGGATTTGTTCCCTCTTGGTCCCTTTCCTATGAGATGCCTAAGGTTCAGAATATTGACAATCAAAAACTAACATTGTCCCCGTTGCATGCCCCTGTCATTAGATCCTTTGAAAGATTCAACTATGTGTTGGTATGACTTCTGGTAGATGATTTTAGGGCTTGTTGTGATTACGTGTTTGAAGGTGTATTCGGAATTATGTACAAATGAAAGTAGTGTTTTCAAAATATGTGATATGTAACTTGGGGGTACACGTGTGTACTGAGATTTTGGTCTCGACTTGAAGCATGAAATTTGACATGTTAAATTGTTGTATTTTACGTGTATGAATATGTTAAAAACGTGATGTTAATATATGTTCAAAGTTTCGCAATTGAATGATAATTCTTGACTGAAAGTTAGCTTGAAAATACACTTAAAGATCACCCAAAAACCTACTAGAATTGTCTTGATGTTTAACGTGAAAGAGGCTGAGAAAATGGACTGCAAAAAGGTGATGAGATTTCCAAAATTAACCATGAAAACTCACCTAATGATGCATTAGATGCTACACAAGAAATGTCCTAAATCTAACATTTAAAAGTTGAGAAAATGGACTGCGAAATGGGTGACCAAATTTCCAGCATTCTGGAAATTTGTTTTGTCAGCTTACTGTTAAAAATTTTAAGTTTAAAAAAAAAGAAAATGCATGAAGTTAGTGGGGGTTGAACCCAATACCTCACCATACACAAGTTATAAAAATATTAGATAATAAAATGAGGTACGGGGGATTCGAAATGGGGTAAGGCTCAAGTGAAAAGTTAGGAGAAGAAAAAGAAAGAAAAATGAAGTTAGGCGTGTGGGGTTCGAACCCACACCCTCTTGGATGGGTGAAGGAGAGAGGAGAAAATTGAAATAAAGAAATAATATAATGAGGTATGTGGGAATCGAACGCACAACCTCTCGGCTGAATGAAGTGAATTAAGGAGAAAAATAAAGTGGTGTTGTGGGGTTCAATCCCACAACCTCTTAGTGTAAACGAAGGAATCAAGTGAAGAGAGAAAAAGAATGAATGTGGGCGTGGGGATTCAGACTTTGGTCCCCTAGGCTGAAATGTTTAAGAAAAAAAAATCAAGAAAAGAAAGAAAGGAAGTGTAGGTGTGGGGAATGGATCTCGGGTTCCCTATCCGAGAAGTTTATGACAACAAAAATCATAAGGAAAATAAACTAAGTGTTATACAAGGGATTTGAAATAGGGTTCCCTTTTCCCAATTCCGTATTAACACATAAGTCTTACGCGATTAAATAATTAATGCATGCTGCCTATAGGAATCAAAATTGAGACCTTGGCATACTAAAAATATGCATAAGTTTTGTACCACCTAATCTTGGGTAAGTATGAATCACTTAGACGAATTACGAATGAAGCCAAATGGCTTGTTTAAGTGGATCCATAAGTCTAGCGGATGTTTAAAAGTAAGTGAACCTAAGATGTTATGTAATGAATGATGTGACCCTAGAAGGGTTAAGAAAGAGTGTGGAACACACTAAAAGGCCAAGTGCATTGTCATATGATGAAATGAACATTCACGTAAAAAGGGGTGAGTAACTACGAATGGAAAATGTTCTAAGACTAATGATTGTGGTGACAACATGATAAGAGGCTAATGCGATTTATGAGAGAAATCTCAAATGAGCCTAAGAAAATGTTACCAAAACGTACTCACTTATAAGAGTATAAAGTTAATGAAGAGAACATTCTCGATGAAGACTTTAGTGAAATTATTAAAGTTAATGCATACTTATACTAATGATGAGATGAGAAATCATATAAGAGCAATTATGCGCTCATGCTTAAATCCATCTTCTATGATATATTAGATAAATGTAATGGAACTTTTTGCAGAGCACATATAGGCTAGCTATGAGTGGTGATTCCTTCTTTTCGAAAGGCAGAGGTTCATATAATTCTCATGAGATGAGACTGTCCATCCATATGGTACGGGTATCCTTATATCTCCCAGTCTTTTAACCTATGCAGCCATCTTAGGGATCTAACAAGGTTCAATTCCTTATATATGCTAGCAGGTTTTGGTTTCACTTTCGGACGATGATTCCTCCTCTATTAAGTGTGGGGTAAACACAGGATTTCATGGAGCTCACATGATCTATGTCGGTTAAAGTTAATGTTCCCAAAGAAATAATGAGGCCAGCCTCATCTAATGCATAAAATGAAATGAATGATACCAAAGGTGTTTGGGTAGGATAATCAAGGGGTGAACTAAACTTATGTAATGACGCTAGGTCAT